TATTGTTTGAAGAATTCTTTTATTTTAAATACATTCCGATTTCGTACATTTTATATACTTTAATTTAAATCTAGACTTTTTTGCAATTGCAATAATAGATTGTGGCCTATTTTTTAATTTTGGCCTGGAAGAAATAATAGAAACAAAGTATTATTTCTAAATAAATTAAACTTGACCCAAAAATTCTTACAAATATATTATTGTTTCAATGTCTTATTGAACCGCCTGCCTTGCCTTATTACCTCTTCGCATATTCGGTGCAAAGAACTATCCAAGTTTGCGCAAACACTTTTCGGAATGAAATGCCACGATTTTAGATTGTGGCGCCACAATTTGTCTTTATTGCCGGCTTTATTAGGCCCGATTATCTTCGTTATGTCTGTCCAAAGGTGTTTGTAGTAGTGAGTATATCAAGGATTTAAAGAAATTCAATTTAATATTTAATATTGTATAAAATTCGGTTGTTAACAGTTGCAAGAAAAATGTTTGAATAATAATGAAAATTTTCTGTTTGATTGACGAACCACAAAAATCACATAAATCTAAAATTTCCAAAATTACAAAGTTGAAATGAACACAGTACAATAAAAGGTAATAACACAAATACAAACCACATACTTCCCTCAGGTTAATGGTTATAGTAATGGATATGAGACGATAACTGCTTTGTCCCAAAAACCATCTCAGATGATGTGGCTGAAATACTTTTTTTATACATCGATCGTAAACCCAGAAGTATTATCGGCAGCTCAACATACCAATTGTTGATACCATTTCTAGCCATTATCGTAGCTTTTAACTGCCTGTGAAACCGTTCTACCATACCATTCCCTTGAGGATGATATGCAGAAGTTGTAACGTGATGACTACCAAGCAATTTTGTTAGTTCCGAAAACCATTTTGACATAAACTGAGTACCCCGATCTGTAGTGATTTTTAACGGTACCCCAAAACGTGAAACATATTCTCTAAAAAATTTATTTGCAACCACTGCCGCTGAAATGTCCTTTAATGCGTATGCCTCGGGCCAACGCGTGAACCTGTCAACTATTGTAAAAATGTAACGATGTCCTTTCGATACAGGAAGAGGTCCAACAATATCTAAATGAATATGATCAAATCTACTTTTGGGAATCGGAATTTTAATTACTGGAGATTGACGATTAACCTTAGATTTTTGACAATTTATACATTCTTTTTACCAAATATTAATTTCTTTGTGCATTTTTGGCCAATAGTACTTTTTAATAATTAGACGACGTGTAGCTTTTGTACCAGGATGTGTAATGCCATGTAACATATTAAATTGTTCAGCAACCGTATAGATCGGACGTGTTTTTTTGCCGCTCTTCAATTTTCTTGAGTGTTTTGCAAACAAATATAATTTTTATTTTTGTCTCAATGTGGCAGTATGTCATATTATGAGAAAGTGACTCTTGGTGGATTGTAATTGGTTAATTCATATTTTGGCAAAAATTAATTATAATGCCGTGCTCATGTGGTCAAAGGGTTGATCGCACAAAACCAAAAGTGCAATGTGCGAAGTGTAAAGTTTTTTCACTTAGTCTGTGTTGGTTTTGTTCAAACTGATCTTGAATATTTGCTTTCGTCCAACAAGTGTTTTTTCTGTAAAATATGTATGGATGAGAGACGTTCATCACTCCGCCCGCCTACATCACCTGTTGCTCCAGCCATTGCTAATGCTTCTAATGGGATTGTGGGTGATGAGAACTCAGATATGCAAAAACAAAATAGTGGTGCTGAAACAATTGTGCTTGACAATAACAATGTGATGTCATTGCAATTTGTGGTCAACGAACTCAATGCTTGGAGAGCAGAGTATGCCAGTGAGCTTAGCGCTATTCGTGACGACCATAAGCAATTTGCAAATAATTGTGAAGCATTGCATGCAGAAATTCGCGTATTGCATGCGAGTCTGGTAAAACGAGACCAAACAATCGCATCTTTAACATCGGAGATAAGTGGCTTGCGTAGTGTTGTTGCTGATTTTCAAAAGTTTTTGAGAGACTGCAGTGTTGATGGTGACAAACACAAACACAACGATGCAGTCAACGATTCTCTTTTATGCTTTTCGCCTCTGCCTGATACGGACGCCTTATTAAATGCTACAGCTGCTGGCGCAATTATGCCTGTTGAAACCATCGCCGAGCCCTCTGCTATTGTTGGAGTGTCTAATAACCAGCAACAAAAAGTGGACACTGTACATGACTCTGTACAGCCAAAAGCATGTGGCGCTGCTGTTTCATTCTCCGACGTCTGTAAAAATGCTACTATACATTCTATTGCTGTAGAAGGTTCGGTGCAGCCTATTAATGCTAATGGGGCTGCTACTAACAACGTTGGTAAAAACGCTGCTAAATATACTAATGCTGTAGAAGGTTCGATGCAGCCTATTAATGCTAATGGGGCTGCTACTAACAACGTTGGTAAAACAGTAGCTGCTAATAAACCAAGCCAGCGCAAAGAAAGTCGTGAAACGATTAAAAAGAAAATTACTAATGCTGTAGAAGGTTCGATTCAGCCTATTAATGCTAATGGGGCTGCTACTAACAACGTTGGTAAAACAGTAGCTGCTAATCAACCAAGCCAACGTAAAAAAAGTCGTGAAACGATTAAAAAGAAAATTATTGGATCTAATGTGAATGCTGAATTAGAAGTAGTCTCTCAGTTGAAATGGTTGCACATATCGTCGTTCTCACCAACTGTCACTGCCATAGATATTATGACTTATGTTGAGAACCATGCAGGCATAGGCAAACATCTTCTTGAGTGCTACAGGCTCGTAAAAAAGGATACTAATATTGACGCTTTACACCGTATAAGCTTTAAATTAGGTATTCCTGCAAATTTATTTGATAAGTGCATGATGCCGGAGGTCTGGCCCGCCAGAGTAAATGTGCGGCCTTTTCGTTTTTTTCAACGTCCAGGAATCCTACAGCAACAACCGTAGCTGACTCAAGCGATATAAATTTATCTCCGAATTCTATAGCAACAACCGCAGCTGACTCAAGCGATATATATTTATCTCCGACCGGGGATTCACATATTTGTAACCTCTCTAATTTGCCTAAATCGATGTATACTT